GAGGAGGAGGAGGAGGAGGAGGAAGAAATAATCCACTGAAGGTTGAAGGCAGTATGTGAGTACAGACTTCTAACTAATTTTTGTATATTTTCTGCTGTCTTTATAGCTTGTGACTGCAATTTCCAAGGCACAGAAGTAATAGGCTGTAACAAACTGACAGGCGGCTGTCTTTGCCGCTCTGGCTTTACAGGCCTCCAGTGTGACCAGTGCCAGCGGGGCTACTGTGGCAACTATCATCACTGTGAGGCATGCCATCCTTGTTTCCAAGCCTATGATGATGACTTTCAAAGGTTTGGCTTACGTCAGGCTGCTTTGAAAAATTCAACACAGCAGTTACAGGTAGGGGGAATGACCTCTGCCTTCAGTACCCGCCTCTTAGAAGTGGAAAGAAAAATTCAGCACATTCAACAGATGTTGGAAAATCCCCTCATTACTGAGCAGGGACTGGATCAGGTAGCCAACACCATTGCTACAGTAAGGTAAGCATGCTTTTTCTTTTGATTTACCAACAACAAAGAAAAGCGCCCCAAACCTATAGAAATATTCTTTCAACATTTGATTGTTAAAAGGAGTTTACTTGACTCCATTCAAACCCAAATTCACAAACAGTTGTCTATGTTAGGGTTAGGGAGATTGTGTTATGGTCCTCGTATGAAAAATGAGAATACAAATGACATACACTCATTTGTTTCAGAGTTTATGAACTGTAAAACACTTTGCTTATAAATGAACTTCCTAAGTGCTCTCTAAATGACTGTAAGTCTGAACAAAATGTTTTTTTTCCTTTCTGCTAAGTTCAGCCTATGTCTATTTAAATGGGAAAGCCTTTGAACAGCAGTTTTGTCACTTCCTATGTTTACATCTTTCCCCAGCTTTAACACAAGAAAAATATGGTCTATCTAATCTAGCAGACCAATCAAGAACTCCAAGCAGAACATGCATATAATAGGTCCCTCCTGCTCATGTTGCCTAGCAACTGCCTTTGATATTAGAGATAATATAGGCTATTATGATTGATAAACAATGATAGTCATATCCTTTGTGGATTTATCTACTCCTGCTGCCCAAATTGATGACTGTTACTATAGGTTGTGGAAATGAGTTCCAGCTACAGATTGTAGGAAGAAATGGTTCCTTTTTCTGTCCATATTTCCAGAGGCTATCAGAATGGTATATTCACTCCACCTTTCTATAAGCCCTCAGAGCAGAGAGAAGGAGACGTTACATGATGTCATGGCCTCATATATGGGGTTTTACGTGACTTTCAAAGAGATAGTGCTGCCTTTACTGTGGCCAGTCTGTCTCAAGGTCTGAGGATAGCAATCAGAGGGAGAAGTGGGGAGATGATAATACGAAAAAATGTGTATATAAATATTATACATCTTGTATGAATTCTAGGCAGACCGTTGGAAGTTTAAGCTCTGAAATACTTCTTATGGATGAAGTCTCCTCCCTGTCCATAGATATGGATGCTCTTGATAAAAGCCTACTTCTGATCACTGTACAATACCAAAACAAGAAGGCCCAGTTTGAAGCCAGCCGCAGCATAGACCTCTCAGGTATAACTCTCATGTTTCAACTGCCACATGACTTAACGCCTGATTAGACAACTTTCCTACTGCAAATGGAGATATCTAGTTTAGAATGTCTCCTTCCACATTGTTGTCTTGCCAGAAAGAGAGTGAAAAGTCTCAGAAATTAGTCTTTTGTCTTAAATTAAAATATTACAAGTTCCTCATTTTTTTCATACTTTTTGCATGGTGTACATTTTTTGCTTGTCTCTTGGATAAAGTTCTGGCCATATTTTCATTCATAAAGCGTAACGTTTAACATATTTGTGCAGGAGACAATTCTATTCCTAGTTTTAGATATGGTAGGAAACAGGCATCACTGTTCATCACAACTTCACTCATCCTACCATTTCCACAGGAAATAATTTTACAGGGTTTATATAGTGCCTCAACAGCCTAAAGAATATATTGACCGGGGATGATATTGGGACAAATAGTGAAACTCTTACCCATCTCCTGGCCCTACTGGTAAACACTGAAGCAGCTACCACAAGGATAGGATCCTAAATGGATGCTGCGTTCAAGATTAAGGGCTTTTCTACACTGCATTCTTAATTGGACTCCTGTGTGTAAACCAGCTTGACTCTTCTGCATAAATTGGTGGAAATGAAATCAGCTTAAGAAAGCTGTTTCTATATTTCAAGTAGTTTCCATTGATAGGCCTTTTGTATTAATTCTCCTTGCCTTGTTCCCACTCATATTCCTGATGCATCCAGTTAAGAAAAAGGAAATAATGCACTATTGTTTTACCATTTTTCCTCTTACATGGGCTTGGAAAAGAAGCTGGGAGACCTTTTGGTAATTTCACCAGGATGAAGAAAGGAAGAAAGCTCTACGGTTTCACCCTTTAATCTGTGGGAAGGGAGGGAGGGAGGGAGGGAGGGTTTTACTATTATTCCTGTCACTAGGATTATGAGGAGAAACTGGCAGAACTCTTGTCAGTTTCACCTGGTGAAACAGAAGAGCTCCACTGTTTACTGTTTAATCAGTGAACTTCTACAATAAATAAAAGGTTTTTGTTTTTTGTTTTAAAAAAAGCCCAACCTTTCATTGTCCACCTGTGAACTAGTTAAACAAAGAAGGTCCAGCATTTCACTGGTCTGGAAGCCCAGGATGAAATGGCAGTAGAAGGTAGCAACCAGTAATGGTAGATGATGGGATGTTCCTGCCACAATTCACAGTAGTCAGTTGGAATGGAGGCATTTATCTATCATGAAATGAAGCACAACAGGTGAACTTCACAGCACCACTTGAGCCAGCATATATTGAAGAACACTACTTTTGATGCACTGAAATCAAAGGCATATGGAGATATGCCTTCCTAGTAGGCTGGGGGTGGTTAGAGAACAGTATTGTGTGTTCCTGTTCTCAAGAAACAGTTAGTAGTGCATACTCATGGTATGTTAATCTGGTCGTGTATTGTTAAGCCCCAGTTACCAGATTGGCTAGCTCATGTGGAATATGAAAGAGAAACTTCTATTCACATCATCCCACACAACAACTTGGACTGTTGCTTATATGTCCCAAGAACAACTTGTTAACTGTGCCATCCTCACTTTTTTGAAAACCACTGTCTGTACCCTGAAAAGTTTTAAGAAAGCTAATGTATAAAACAGGATACTTCACTCACACCTCTTCATACCCCTGTAATATGAAAGCCAAGGTTCTGCTGACTTGAATTCACTTATGGCATGACAAAAGCTCAGAGATGCCTTTATGATCACATGTGAACATGCTGTATGATAATAGAGAAGTAAAACTGGTTCATTTGGATTCTAGATGCCTTGTTGCTATGGTTTTCACTGCAGTGTCTGTGGGATGAAGCTGAGAAAAACAGTGCTGCTGCATCATGATGTATGCCTTTTCTATGCATAGAAAAACTTTATTATAAAGTCAGTAAACTTGTTTTCAAAATGCCGAGTCTTTCATCTTTCCGCAGGTAAACTTGTAAAAAGAAGGCAGGCAGGCAGGGACTAGTGACTGGAGTAGAGGGGGCATTCCAGCCCCACTTGCACCTGCATGTTAGAAAGCACTACTTTTGACATGTAGCAGGAAAAGACAGGCAAAGGTTGCTCTGTTGGTACCCTGGGGGGTGGAGGAAGGTAGGATGAAACAATGACTTCCTGACCTTCAGAAGTGGCCAGTAGCCCATACTTGCACTAGGGCAAGCAGTTTGTGCAGATCAACCCTTAGTTTCAAATTATAAATGTGAGTACTAAACAGCCCTCCCAGTGAAACCTACCTAGTCTGATTGAAACATTTCATTGCTTCCCTCAAAAGCCACCCATCAGCTGTTTCACTTGATCAGGAACATTCACATTTGCTTTAGAATTTCACTGCAGATGAATTTTGATGCCATCTCTAAATTAAATAGAACTGAAGGAAACTTTAGGGTTGAATGATCTAATGTGTTTGTGCAAGAACAATATGGGTAAGTTAGAGGTAGATGAAAAATAGTGGCTTAGGAAATGGGCATATACTTAACATTAGGAAATAAGATGTTATTCTCAACCCAGAAGTTTTTTGTTTATTTTTTCATTTTTAGAACTGAGTTCAGAGTTCCTTCACACACATGCTATGAATACAATACATAGATACACATCACTCCTATTTTCCTTCTACTCCAACTTGGCTTCATTTCACCTGCCCAGTTTTAGGACACTAAGCAGTCAGCATTGATAACCATATAGTTAGTCACGTGGGAATGGAAACCCTTGTCAATTTACTATAAAAGCTTAGAAGCTGTGAACAAGCACTCTAGGATTCACTAAACAGAGACTTTCAGTGACCAGTTCATAACAATATTTACTCTACAGATGATAGGAAAATGCAGAAATGATGCCCTAATGGTTTTAGAGCACTGAATTCCTTTTCAAACCTTCACTATTCTTGGTTTTGAGGAAGAAGTCTTTTACTACAAATTTAACAAGAACTTTGCTTGTCCTTGTAAAGCATTTCTGTTTTCTGGAGATTCTAAGTTTCAGAAATGGTTGAATGAATATTTTTATAATTATTTTGTATTACATTTCAGAGGAGAAAAACATTCCTGAGTTCAGAAGGCTTACTCCGTTGAATCTTTCTTTCTAGTTTATGGGAGAAGTATCAATATTTGCTTGGCTATCATTATGACAGTGCTTGTGAGAGACAAGACCTTGGTTACAGCTAGAGAATCAGCATTTAGAAGGCTATATAGCTCAGTTCTAAAAAGGATTTTCACCCTTTCTTTTTTCTTTCCTTTTTTCTTTTTTCTTTTTTCTTTTTTCTTTTTTCTTTTTTCTTTTTTCTTTTTTCTTTTTTCTTTTCTTTGGAGTTTGATATGATTTCCAAGAAATTTACTAATGTTTTCTTTGGCTTGGAGAAGGTGATATGAAGAAAATTTATCCTGGATTTTTACAGCTATGCACTTGTTAAAGCTGTCTTGAAATGATGAGTGGCAATTCTTCTTTAAGATACTTGTCAGAGCAAGATTATTCAATTAGGTAACTGGTGAATTCAGATCTATGAAGATGTTTTGCTTCCTTTATTCTGAAATGCTTTCGTTGTCAGTCTACCAAACATCTTCTAAAAGACTGTCCTATGAAAAATCAG